TGGAGATTGAGATGTAATTGATGCACGCTAACTTTTGAACTAATTGCATGAATTGGATCGAAATGACGGCGTGGCCTTTAGGAGGTGCAATTTCACGGAAAGTACACATTTTTAATCGAACCCGTTGTTTTACTGCTCTAGTTCGCCCGCTGAGAGCCAAGTTCAAATTCACCGGTCTGCTTTATTGACTTGAGCGGTTGACATGAACGCGCAGAGGAGCAACAACAACAACGCACCAAACTCGAACGCGCACACTTTCCGCACTCGCGTCGAAGGCATAAACAACAACAGCAAAAAGAGGAGGATGAGGAGGAGGAGTTCGCAAAGCGAAGAGGAGGACAGCGCTGCCTCAATTACTGCACAACTGCGATGTTAATTGAAGCAGGCGATGCCAGTCAGAGGTACCCTGTGCACGCCCCCACCCACCCACCCCAACTTGAGCGAAGCTGTTAACCGCAGCCGCAACATACCCACACTCAGCCCTGGTAATTGCCTGCTCCCCAGGCGGTGGGGAGTGAAGTGGGGTGGGGGTGGGCAGCTGGGACATATGATGCGCTGATAAGTGGGATACTCAGGCGTGTCTGTGTGTGTGTGTGTATGTGAGCTTGCGAGTGCTGCTGCTGCTGCCGCATTTCACTGCCACTATTCGGAGACCACGGTGGTGGGTGGGTGAGTGGGTGGGTGGAGTTGGTGGCGGGCGAAATGGGAAGACAAGTGCATTAAAATTACTGCTTGATGCATCTCGGTGTTGGATGAGGGAGAGGAGGAGGAGGAGGAGGGGGAGGCAGAGGAGGTGGTGACGGCGGAGGAAGACGCAAATACATAAAAGCTCTCATCCACCCAGAGTCATGTTTCTTGTTGTAGAAGTGGTTAATGGGTACAGGGGAGTGGATTTTTGGAGTTAAGTGTGAGCAGCGTCGAACTGCCACGGGGTGAAACAGTTGGGCCAATGGGGGCAAATTCACACCTAGTGTCGCCATAAGTTGGCATGGATTTGGTTGCGAGGATCTCAATTCACGTCTTCAATGAAGGGTCGTTCTGATGCACAAAATGTCACGTGATCTAATCTAGGACCAATCGCATCAGTTGTTGGATCCAGAAATCAATAAATCTCCACGACTTGTGCGATTCGAGTTTGTATTTCCAACTTGGACATCATGATTCGAAGTGGGTCCGATCACGCGGTGTCATGTAGGGGGGTCTGATCGAATCTCGTGATGGATCAATTTTGCACAAGGGCTCAGCTATCGAAGCTGGACAAATGAGTACATCGCGACGATGCGGTATTGAGAGAAGTGGTAGTCGGGATTAGACTTGGTGAGCGTTGCATTACTTTTCCATCAAAAACCAATCGATGCTGGTCCAATCGGTGAACACAGTGCGTGCGAGTTTTCGAGTTACGCTGGCAATCGTTGACGACCTGTTAGCTCCACAACGAAGATCCTGGCTCCCCTGAATGTGGTGGGTCAATGAACCCTCCGATTCGGTTGTTCAGTGTTAATCATTCGATGGAGCTTTCCAGTCCTCCAACAATTTGGACTCCACGTCGTTCGGTTCGATAGAGGTAGGCTAGAGACCTCTCTCGAGGATATCTGTCCCAGTTTCTCACGTTCACCAGACCGTCTGTCCCTCCGTCCATCCATCTATCAGCCAATCAATCGAGCAGCCAATTAATCAATTCAACGATCATATTGGATTGTCAATCCTTGAGATGACAAACGTGGTTCAAGCGTCAACCCAGTGATTCCACGTGCGTTCCCCAGCTAGATGGGAGGTTACATGTGAGGCAAATTCGAGGCAGTTAGTGGAAAGTACGTTTGGGAAAAGCCGCAGTGATTGGGTGCGGTAGAAGCGGTCGTGCAGCAGGCAACCGTGGTATTCCCACGAGTCTCTGTAACCTGTCGCAATTAATCGCATCTGATTGCTCCCTTTGACATGCATTTCGGACGCTGATCACGGTTATTCTAACCCGGCTGTTGGTGAGGTTGTGGTGACATAGAGCTTTGTATGGCATCGTCTGCTCGATTGTGATTGGTGGAAATTGGGCGTCATGTTAACTTGAATAGGTTTAAATGCTTAGCGAAAACAAAATTCCACACTAGCAATCATCTTCTGACGTCTCACGGTGGATTAAAGCAGTTTTAGATAGCCAATTACCTCTCACAATTTGGGCTCATTTCAGGTGAAAAACCAAATGCCAGCAGCTTGTCTTTCACAAAGGTGATATTATGTAGGAATTCGCAGTGGTCAAACGGCTCTGATCAACCCGTATTACTTTGGTTAATTAGATTAAAAGCAGCATACGTTTGTGAAAAACTCATATTCCAGCACAAGGTGGTGTGCCATGGGGTCATCATTTACATGCAATCTCAGCTTTCAGACGTAAAATTAGTCGAATGCGGCAGTTTCTATGGTCTTCGCGCGCTAGATAAGTTGGCATGGATTTGGTTGCGAGGATCTCAATTCACGTCTTCAATGAAGGGTCGTTCTGATGCACAAAATGTCACGTGATCTAACCCTGGGACCGATCGCATCAGTTGTTAGATCCAGAAATCAATAAATCCTTACAACTTGTGCTATTCGAGTTTTTATTTCCAACCTGGACATCACGATTCCAAGTGGGCCCGATCACACGGTGTCTCAAACCTAATCTCGTAAAGGATCAATTTTGCACAAGAGCTCAGCTATCGAAGCTGGACAACTGAGTACATCGAGACGATGAGTTATTGAGAGAAGTGGTAGTCGGGATTAGACTTGGTGAGCGTTGCATTACTTGTCCATCAAAAACCAATCGACGCTGGCCCATTCGGTGAACACATGGTGTGCGAGTTTTCGAGTTACGCTGGCACTCGTTGACGACCTGTTAGCTCCTTAACGAAGATCCTGGCTCCCCTGAATGTGGTGGGTCAAAGAACCCTCCGATTCGGTTGTTCAGTGTTAATCTTTCGATAAAACTCTTCAGTCGTCCAAGAATCTGAACGGCACATCGTTCGGTTCGATAGAGGAAGGCTAGAGGCCTCTCTCGAGGCATCTGTCACGGTTTCTCACGTTCACCAGACCGCCAAACCTC